CACTAGTTCTGGTAGTCTTCCCTAGAAGACTCAGTTTCTGAACTAGGGTGCACCAATGCCAGGAAGGGGTGCAGTTGAGACAAACTGCTTCTTGATCAGAATTCGAAGGTACATATGCAATAGTGTACACTGTTACAACCTACATGAAGCATGATGAACAGCATTCCCATTCTACATTAACTCAAGCTTGTTCTGAGCTGCTCTCAGCCAAAGTGCTCACAGAAACCCTTTACCCCATTTTGTTTGAAAAATACTCAATTTTATCTACAATATAGTGGGAATGGGTTAGGGAATCATTCGCTCTAGGCGTCATCGTAACTGAATCCTACACTTTGAAATGAGTTTCACTTTCACTCTGACAACACTGAGCAGTATTGCTCATGGAGCCCCGTCATCGGATTGCCAGTCCTGCAGCACTCACTGTTAATGAGTCTACTCTGAGTAAGACCTTCACAGCACCAATAATTCGGAGTGCTCATCCCAGTGTGGTAGAAGAGAGTTTCCCATTGACTTCATTCCTGGCATTTAGGGGTTCTGATTTGAATTTATGGGAAATCAGAGGCTTTCCAGTCAAACTCAATGGTAATGGGTCTAATTTGAGTAAGCTTGACAAAGACAGGCAATCTGACTTTCTGACAAGCTCCAGATGCCAGGAATGAACCCAACATGAAAGTCATTTGAAGCAATCTCTTTTCTACAACACTGAGAAACACAGAATTGTGGTTGCTACTCTTACTCAGCGTAGATCCATTACCACTGAGAAAGCCTCCATTTTCCCATAAATTCAAATCAGCACCCCTACACAAAATATAGAATGTAGAAAGTAGAATGGAATTGAATCGAATCCAATTGAAAATAGAAGCTTCGAACGACTTTCAAACTGGAGTCTTTCCTGGCATTAAGGGATACTCTTTTGAATTCATGGAAACACAGACACATACAGCGAACACAATTCAGAGTGTTCATCTCAGTTTTGTAGAAAAGAGATTGCTTGAAATGACTTTCATAAATGTGCATGAGAGAAAGAACAGCTAATTTGTTTTAGAAGACAAAGGAAGAATACTCATAAACTTAACTACAGTCTGGATCAGGCTATAAAGCTTAACATCAAAGGAGGAGATATTAATTGAACTCAGAAATAAATCTGTTTTGTTTTGTTTTTTAATTCTGGGAGATCTGGATGGAGGAGATGAAATTTAAAGAGTGATAACACATGCATAAACATTCTCAAAAAGGTATCCCCAAAGACTAAATAAGTCCTGGGATTTGATGTTGTTATATGCCATCAAGTCATCTTTGACTTATGGCGACCCTATGGATGAATGAATGTCCTTCAAAATGGCCTGTTCCTCAGAGGCCCTGCTCAGCTCTTGTAAATTCCGAGCTGTGGCTTTCAATGAGAAGTCTGGGGTAGGAACAATAAAATAGGAACTGACTTAAGACTGAAAGGCAATGATAGAAGCATGTTGCTCCATGCTCTCACTTTCTGCCACACTATCCAGTTTTGTCCATTCTATTTGGATTATTCAGGGAGATGCTGATTGTACTCGATAACTCTCTGATCCTCCACTTTGTTCTTCTATGAATATGTCAATTGTTCACTCTCCTTCCTGTTGCCTTCCCTCTTGATGTCTCTATTCACCTCCTCTCTTCCATTTTGCTGGCCCAAATGGAACATTTGCCCAGGAATGCATTTGCCCAGGAAATCAGGAATTGTATGTGTTCTTTTCAACAGACATTTTTATTAAAAGATGATGAAAGGGCTGCCCCTCTTCACACACAAAGTCCTGAAGTCTTATGAAATTTGTGTTATCAACTTCTGTAGCTCAGTCTTTTGCAATTCTTACCTTTTAACATGATGAATAGTCATATCACCTTCCCATTCATTTGCAGTTTACAGTTAATTTTAAAACAGTTTTGTCATTCGTTGATTGGCCACATTTCCCTCTTGGCAAAATTTCTAAATATAGCCCTAACTCTATACCAACTTGACACTATTAAGAGATCCTGGACTTCAACTTTGAGATCAGATCATGAGATCCATTTTATTTTTGTAATGATGGAAGCCTTTACCATTTGGCGGGTCAAAACAGCTCATAGTGCTGCAACCACCTGGGAATTTACCAGTGAGATTCCTGCACAGCTCCAGCCTTTGAGACCACAGTAAGACTTCACTAACTAGGTTGAATGATCCCAGCTGCATTTCTGTGTGAAAGCTACACAGACCTGTGGTCAGATCCAGGAAATCTTCCGAGTTTTCAGATGAAGACAAAAAAGGAGACTGAGAGATGCCCAGTCATCTCCACCAACCTATGTCAACTTGCCCTTGGGCTTATATCTTCTTGGATCTTTTTCTGTGGAAAGATGCTTGCTTGAGTAAGGCGGAACATGTTGTTATGTAGCATCAAATCATCTCTGATATATGACTCCCCTATGAATGGGTGCCCTTCAAATTGTCCTCTTTCATAGCATTGCTCAGCTCTTGTGAATTCAGAGCTGTGGCTTCCTCGATGGAGTCAATCCTTCTCATATTTGGTCTTCCTCTTCCTTTGATTTTCCTTAGCATGGGTGTCTTCTCCAATGACTCTTGCCTTTTCATGATGTTCTCAAAGTACAACAGCCTCAGTTTTGTCATTTTTGCTTCCATGGAAAGTTCTGGCTTTATTTAATCTTGGGCTCACTTGTTCATCTTTCCGCTGTTATTTAAAGAGCTCTGCTTCCAGTACCATGTTTCAATTCCAATGTTTCAATTTTCACACCCATACATAGCAATGAGGGCTTTATTTGCCAATGAAATGTCCTTGTATTTGATTATCTTTTCTAGTTCCTTCATTGCTGCCCTTCCAAGTCTTGGTCTTCTATTTTCTTGGCTGTGGTATCCATTTGAATTGACGACTGAGCCAAGGTATGCAAAATATTTCAAAATTTTAATTTCTTAATTGTTGACAGTAAAGTTTTGTAAAGTCTTCTATAGTCATGATTTTTGTTTTCTTAATATTCAGCTGCAGTCCCACTTTTGCACTTTCTTCTTTCACTTTCATCAGAATTCATTTCAATTCATTACTGCTTTCTGCCAGTAATACAGCATCACCTGCTTAGGCATTTCTTCATCATTTTGCCCAAGGTATTGCTCCAATGCTTCTCTTTGATCCCTGCATGATTTTTCCCTTTCCCTTACCTATATAAATTTCATATTTATCTCAAGAATTGTTTCTGATTCCTTCCAGATCAGTACCTTCTGCAAGCTTGCTTGCTACCATGTTAAACTTGGCAGCTTGGCATAAAGCATATTGACTTGAACTCTTGTTTCTGCACCCCCAACTGTGTCCTTAATGGTCTGAGAATTCCCTGGCTCAGACCAAAATGGGCATAAAGAAGTGGTGGTAGTCTACCGAAGTAATTAAGTCTTCCTGTCTACACTGCAGGGAGTTTAGGCAACACTTTTTCTCCCATTACTATTCCCATTATCCCCAGCTAGCACAGACAAAGATAAGGAAAACAGGACCAGCGCATAAAACATCTGGAATGCATCATGCTGGAGCAAGCTTTCTTACCTTGCTCATATCCACAAGTGTTAAGATTAAAAGGCATCATCCCCGTCTGCACTCACCTACCAGTTTTTGATTCAAAGAAACCTGAACAATGGTTGCTCAACTGGTAGCTTCCCCAAATGGTGGCTTCCAAATTTTGCAGACTATACCTCCACCCTCAATAATCACTGGCCGTGGTGCCTGCTGATGTGAAGATTGATACAGATACTGTACTGAGATACTGATTAGAGTATCTGAAACCTAATTAGCAAACTCTCCCATGCTTCATCAGAAGGAAAAGTCATCTTTAATCTTTTTAAAATCATGCCCTGTTAAACAGGAACAAGATGAACATAGAAATGACATAATCTCAATTATTAAAATGATCTGCCAACAATTAATCACTTACATATTAAACAGATTATCAGTTAACCCTAAAGTTTGCACTCTTATACATATTTAAAAAAATATCCCTGGAACAAGAAAAATGGGTATTTTTAAAGCTGTTTGCTTAAAGTTCATCAAATGCTTGTAACTTTTGAATAATAGCATAACTGTTCAATTTTTAAAAATAATAAATATGACAAAATGGATTATGGTAAACATATTTATATTCTGCTGAAAGTTACTTGGGGGGGTGTGTATTGTTTCTTTCCTGCCTTTCTTTCATCATGGAAGACATGGTGTTCCAAGCCAGTTCCCCATCAAAGCTCTGACCAGACCCAGTCCAGACTTGCTCCTTCAAGGCTATGGCCCTTGGACCTGTTTGCTCCATTAGGTAGAGGGACTGTAAGCTTTGTCATAGCCCAATTAATGATGGAGGAGACAATGGACTGGAGCAGGCGGTTAACTCCAGCTAAAAGTAGTCTCTGAATTGTACTGTCCCATCCACCCGCCAAAGAAAGGTCTGCAACTAATCCTGCCGTGTCTGCCAGAGGGTCTCAAAGGTTATTAGGAGGGATCATAAGAGAGATTTTAGATTTGACAATGCCGGGAAGGCTGTGAAGCCAGTGCTTCCCTGTGTGCTGGCCTCTCCACTCCCATAATGCCTGAGAAGCTTGTACATTCGTGTTTAAAAAGACTGCTGCAAAGATGCCACAGGCTCTCAGTGCACTCTCCGCCAAAGACTAATGACCATGTCAGTGCTCACTTGGCATCCTGCCGCAAAAGACTGGTGCAGGGGGAGGTACAACGCAAATATTTTCAGGGAGTCTTTTGAGGCAAAAGGAAATTTGATTGTACATGCACTGTTCAACTCTCAAGGATTTTAAAAGAACTACTGGAGGGTCTATGTTGAGACATTGGGAATTAGGATCAAGTTCCTGTAGCTATGCTGGTCCAGGAAAAAAGAAAGCATTGTCCCATTTGCTGGACAAAAAGGACTGTTTGTTGAGTCTCCTTCATGGCAGGTGTGGAATCTGACACAACTGGAGGTAGAGCAGGAGCAAGGCTGCTGGTGGATACTGTGCTTCAGCCATGTGTGCCAATCTGACAATACAGGATTAAGGAGACAGTCATGGCAGCCAGCTAGAGAATAAAGAAAACAATTGAAACAAGATTTTACCTACAATCTTCCTGAGAGCCACTGAAATGAAGATGGTGCAAGCCTTCTGGCTATCTTTCAGGCTCCATGGTCAGGCCATGGGCAGTCAGAGATGAGACAAGACAAGAGCAAAAGAGGCACCAAGACCATAGAAACAGAGAAACAGAGTGAGCCTCCTGGGCTATCTAGTCTGACTCCCAGCTCCAGTCAGCTCCACTCATGGCATGCCTACCATGTGCATGTCCAGCCTATCCTTGAACTCCCTCACTGATGGGGCTTCAACCACCTCACCTTCCTGTCAGGAAGTACTTTCTGGCATCCAAATGGAACCTTGGTTCCCTGAGTTTTGCTCCGCTGGAATGTGTCCTGCCCCTCTCTGCAGGCAAAAATGGATCTCTACCCACCTCTGCGTGACACCCCTCACATAGGTATATGTTGCCAACAGATCCCCTCTGAGTCTCCTCTTCTCCAGGCTGAAAAGACCCAGTTCCCTCAGTTTCACCTCATATGGCTTTCCCTGCAATCCAGCCGCCATCCTTGTGGCCCTACGCTACACTGATTCTAACCTGGCTACATCCTTCCTGTAATGTGGAGCCCAGAACTGAACACAATGCTCCAGCTGCAAGCACACCAGTTGTATAGAGTGGTAGCAATAGCTCTCTCAATCTAGAAGCCACACTTCTGGCTATGCAACCAAGGGTGGCATTCGCCCTCTTGACCACATCACACTGCTGACTCATGTTTAGCCTGCAGTCAGCCAGCACCTCAAGATCCCTTTCACAAGTGCTGCTCTCCAAGTAGATCTTCAAATAGTTAAAAAGGTCAAATATCTGGGAATTTTTCTCACAGCCAGATGCGCTACATTGAAAGAAGACAACTATGTTAAACTATTTAAGAAGAATAAGAATGATGTAGAAAAATGGGCTAATTTGCAGTTATCACTGTTGGGAAGAATAGTAATAGTTAAAATGAATATATTACCTAAGCTTTTGTTCTTATTCCAACCAATTCATATACAGATTGATAAAAAGTCCTTTGATGATTTAAATACACAAGTTTTGAGATTTATATGGCAAAAGAAGAAATCAAGGATTAAGTTAAATATGCTCCAGGAGGCCAAAGGGAATGGGGGCCTTGGCCTTCCTGATTGGTTGTTGTATTATCAAGCCTGTGTTTTAATGTGGCTAAAAGAATGGATAACTTTAAGAAACAAAAGAATTTTGTATCTTGAAGGACACGATTTACAACTGGGATGGCATGCTTTTATGTGGTATGAAAAATGTAAAACACATGGTTACTTCCTAAACCATTATATTAGAAATTCACTGATGCTGGTCTGGGAAAAACTAAAGACAACGCTCTATACTAAGTTGATCAGATGGCTTTCTCCTATGGAAGCTCTTGTATATCCAAATGCATTGGACTTTAATATGATTGTGAGATATGATGATATTTTAGATGATGATGGAAAATTGAAACCAAATCAAGAACTACAGGAAGAGGGCATTGATCTTTCTTGGTGGCATAAGGTACAAATACAATCGAGATATACTAAAGATTATAGAATGTATGGTTTCCATAAGGAACAAACAACATTTGATCAAATAATTTTAAAATCAGATGAAAAAATGATCAAAAGATTGTATAATTTTCTTTTGGACATGAAAATGGAAGACAAACAAGTTAAGGAAACTATGATAACATGGGCACAAAATTTTGGATATAATATTGAGTTACAGAAATGGCAAAAGCAGCAGGAAAGAAATATTAAGATAACTTTAGCAACCTCATATAAAGAAAACCTCTATAAAATGTTTTATAGATGGCATTTATCGCTGAATAGATTAACAAAATTGTTCCCAAATATGTCAAATAGATGTTGGACATGTAAACAAAAACCTGGTACCTTCTATCATATGTGGTGGACAATATTAAGGCAAAAAAAATATACTGGGTTAAAAAAATACTGCTACTCCTGCCTCCGTGCACTGCTGGCACCACCTTTCCAGCCCGTGCCCAGCACCAGCAGCTTTCAGCTGGTCCCGTGGTGTAAAAGTTTGAGGACCCCTGGTCTAGAGTCTTTTCCAGGATCTAAAGTAGCCTGCCCCAACCAGCTGCTCTCCCACGAGGTTGCATATGATGGGAGTTGCCACCCAGTACATCTGGAGGGCACCAGATTGAGGAAAATTGCTCTAAGCTGCTGTCTTTGGTGCCAGTAAAAAGTCCAGCTCAGCTACACATAGGGTTGCTGCAGGAAATAACATCTGGGAAACAAAACTGTCTCTGAGGTGGGGATGGGAATATAAGCGCATGCATAAAATCTAGTGTATGCTTACCTCAAGCACCCCAATGGCAAGAGCCACTCCTGCAACAATTTTCCCGTTGTTGCTCAGGAAGACTTCAAATTCATGCAAGCAGCCCTGGAAGACACATGATATGTCAGGAATCTCCTCCCCTCTCCCTGCTCAGTATTTCCATGTTAATGTGAAGTATCTTGAGATTTATAATACAATGTGATGCAATTACAATAGCAGCTTTTGTGTTACCCTGCCACTGAAAGAAACTCCATGGATTTCTTATTAAAGGCCCTTTCATAATAGAATAAATGGCAATAACAGGAAAATGCAGGGTCCTTCTAAAATATGAACATTGAATTACTGCTGCTATTGTAATTATTATTCTCTTAAAATGAATTTTTATTTACAAATGCTACTTATCCCTAAAGTCATCAATGTCAAGGCTCTGGAACATAAAGTCCTACTTACCAAGTGTGAAGCTGACTTTATAAAGCTTGTGCATTTTTCAGGTTGATTAATAAATGCTAACCTTTGACCCAAACTTCACTGTACTGTTTTCCTGCCTTCCTTATCCCTCCTCGTTTCCCTGCAAAGGAAGTACTCAGGTATACATGTAACAAATGCCTGTACCCCCCTCATTGTACAAAAGATGCTATCTGAAACCTGCCAAGTCATAAAAATCTCTGGAATTTAATACTGCTGTGTGCATGCACGCACACACAGTTAGTTTACGCTTTAATCATCTATACTACCTTAATCGCCAAATGTCCATTTCAGAAGCATGAAGGGTGCAATACTATGCCTGTTTAGACAGACAAAACTCCAAAACTCACAATGCTGGGCATTGTAGGTTTGGTTTTTTTTTTAAACATGCACAAGGGCACTCCCTAATTAGCTTTCCCCACTCGTGAATGAGTCCAGACTCAGCTGGATTTAAACTTAGATCGCTCTGAACTCATAGTCAAATGTTCCTTGCTGTCCTCTGCAAATACAATGCCTCTGTTCCCATCTATTTAGAGATGAGACCAGCATATTCTTTTTACTTAACATTTCCATATTAGACATGCCTGACTTAGAAAATGTAGAATTGAAAAGAAAAAATATGCCACAAAAGTTTATGAGGCTGTATTCACTTTTAAACTGCTTGTTTAGGTAATCAAAGTCTCAAGTTTTCACAAGACACTCCAGGATGTTGTGATCTCACAAGTTACCTGCTTGCTGTGGTCAACTGCAAATTCTTGGCATTCTCTGCTGGCTAGGCAGCAAAAGGAGGGATATTTCCCATAAGTTTGATAGAAGTAGGAAGTGTTGAAATCACCATAGTTGTTGAATCCACAGCAATTCAGCTAGAACAGAAAGACCCACCTAATTTATAACAGCCATTTTATACATATAGAATTAAGAAGCTGCTAGAGCAGGCACTGAATATGAAGAGAATGAAGATGTTTTATATATATTAAAAGAAATAAGATATTCATAAGAAAGCGTGTGTGTAACGGTTAGGTGAAGTACCCCCCCCCATGACGCTGAGGAGAATTCGCCCCTCTTAGCAGCCGCTAAGGCCCAAATTGCCCAAGTTTGCTCCCTAAGGAGCCAAACCACACTGTATTAGCACGCAATGGCCCAAGATTTGGGGGAAAAGAATCTTTACAACACAAACATACACACAAAGGGAAACTACAGATAACTTCGGCTACTCAAGAGTAGGGAAAGGGGAAAAAGGGATAAGGCAAACAATGCAGCTTCCAGCGGTTCACCCTCCTTGAGGTCTTTTGACCGTCCCAGACTCTAAAACAAAGACTGACTAAGCTAAAAACTTAACAAACTGCTCCGCTGCACCAACTGGCCTCCTCAGAGTCACCGTTGGATTGTCTCCTCAGCAACTAGCAGTTGGGCGCCACCTTCTTTTCTCTCCACTGCAAAACCCTTTGATCCCCGACAAACTCCCAACCTTTTCGCCCCGGACCCCGACTCCCGTGCCAGACCTGCAAAGGCATTCATTTTTATGGTTTTTTATCTTCCTTCCTGCCTCCTGGCATCCATCCCGGGGAGAGTATCTGATTCGGTAAATTATCGAAGCTTCACTCCTGTTCCAACCCCTGCATAACCTTGGCGCCAAAGCGTCATAATTGAGGCTGTGTGTGTGTGTGTGTGTGTGTGTGTGTGTGTGTGTGAGGGAGGGAGGGAGGGAGGGAGGGAGGATACCAAGGGATATTATAGAAGTATAGCATATAATTTCAACATCTCTTCACAAGAAAGCAAAACTTTCTGACTCCTCTAGCCACAGCTAAATCAATCAGTTCTCACTTAAGATTCAGCAACAGATTACTCCAATTTATCAAAACAATTGTAAATAATGTTTTAATGTTAGCATGAAATACAAGTCTGAAATGATATTTTTTTACATATTCTGTTTTCTTCAATATTAAATTACTCATAAAAAGCTTTCAATTTTTTATTAAATTCTTTGGCAAATCTTCTATTTATATAATTAGCTAATTTTGCCATTGTTCATATTCAGCTAGCTTATTTTTCCAGTCTTCAGTAGTTGGACAATCTTCTGTTTTCCACTTTGATGGAATTATAAGTCTTGCTATCATATATTTAAAGAACTCTAGCATACTCTTTGGAAGAGTCTCTGGTATAATACTAAATAACATATTCTTAGCATTCATAGGAAAATTAATTTTGAGAACATTCTGCATTTCCACATGTATTCGTATCCATTTTCTGTATATCTTTTGGAATAATATGCCACACATTTTCTCTTAATGCTTGACTGGCAGTAAATTTTATATCCCTCATCCATAGGGCTTCCCATGGATGGGGCAGCATTTCTTCTTCAAGGTTCTGCATCCTTCTAATCATACATGTTTTAACTTGTTGAATTTCAGTGTCAGACTGGAGCAGTTGTTTGCAGAGTCATCCTAGTAGATGATCTTTTTTGATGTTTGAGTGTTTTTAAAAATTCTGTCAGGTCTCTTATTGTACCTTTTCAATTTTGAAACCAGTGGATAATAAAGAGGTCAGTCTGTATTATTTCCTTCATCTTGTAATTCTTGCCAGAGCTTGAATAGTCCTTGTTAATCATGTCTCCATATATAGGATCATTAATAAAAATACCAATTTATTATTAAACCAACTCTGAGTATGTGCCTGCTTGGTGTCAACACTTTTTTGATATATTGTTAGCCCATAAATTATTACACCTTCCATCTTTAAGGTCTGCTATTTCTAATTTGACTAGTCATTCATTCAAATTAAAAATCCAGTCTGTGATCCAAACCAAGCTGGCTGAATAAAGCTTGGGATTTGATATTGCAAGACCTCCTCTCTCTTTTTAATCTCGTAGAAGTTGAAATCTTATCCTGTTTTTTTTTCTGGTTTCAAACAATTGCCTCTGCCAGTCTTGAAGAGTTTTTCCAGTATAGAAATTGGTAACATCTGGAATAAGAAATTCAACTTAGGTAAAACATTCATTTTTATAATGGAAATTCTTCCCAACCATGATACTTTTAACTTGCAAGTTCTTTTGAATCTTTGTCCAAGTTATTTTGTAATATTTGAAATAAAAATATTTAAAATATTTGAAATAAAGTGTCATTCTGTCCAGTCATGTTTATTCCTAAATACTTGACCAGATGGGAAGTATTAAAAAATGTTTTCCTCCTCTTGTTTCATTACAAATGTTAATATAATTTTTGATTTCTTATTAATTTTGTAACAAGAATAAAATCCAAATTTTTCCAGCTGTAGCATATCCATAACTGAAGACATTTTTAGGAAGCTTACACATTTTGCTTTGCTTTATTGGGATCTAAAATCCATTCATACCACCAAAAAAGTATTTTTCCTTCCTGGAATTCTAACATTATTGAAAAATGTTCATAAAATTTCTCTTTAGCATCATTTGGGGCATATATTGTTGCCAATGTACTCATCTTCTCATTCAAGGATCTTTATCTTAAGAATGATGAATTTTCCTTCTGGGTCCTTCAATTCTTCTGTAACATTCAGGCTTTGATTATTAATGTAAATCACAAGCCCTTTCCTTTGGAGTAAGTTGAAGCTTCATAAGTTTAACCCTATTTCTTACAATATAAGATATGGGCATCTTTTTTTTTTCTTTATGTGAACTTCTTGAATATCTGTTACATATGTCTTTTGTTTTTTAAAAAAGTTAAAAACTTTAGTTTATTCAGAAGGAGAATTCATGCCATTAATGTTTACAGATAGAGTTTTCATGTTGTCTTTTTCTTCTAAAACTGTCACCTGGTCTAATTTCATCTCTTCTTTGTCTGCACTCATCTTAGTTGGATTTTCAGATTTTTCAGGTCTGTCGTTGGACATTTTTTCACTAGCTGTTGAGCTTGTTCTGTGGTTGCAATAACTCTTCTTCCTGTTATCAATGCCACTTCTAGAGTGAAGGGAATTTTCCAGCAATACCTTTTCTTCTTTCTTTGCAAAATTTATCTTAGAAAAGCCAAGTCTTTCCTTTTTTCAGGAGATCTGGTGAAAAATCTGGAAAGATCTGAACTTCCTTCCTATAGACACAATTCACCAAAATACTCTAGTGGCACATGCTTACCTGTTAACTTTCTTTGGTTGGAATACATATAAAATTCTTTCTACCTAATTTTGGGTGGGGTGGGGTGGGGTGGGGGGTACTTGATTGCATCTGCAGAGCCAGCAATCTTCCATTCCTCCATTTTTAAAATTTCAGATCATCGGTCTGATTTCTGTGCATGTGCAGTTCCTTGTACTTTTCAGTCTCCTTGCTTCTTGCATTTTACTGATATGCACTAGTGTGAGAGAGCATTAATAAAAGTGCAGTGCAAGAAGGAATCTTGATGATGTAGGAGTGTAGTTAAATCAGAGCATAAAATAGATC